ATATGATATGAGGGAGTAATATTATCACCCACAGCCTGAAGAATAACATAGCAAATCATATCAGTGATTTGTTAAAATGATCCTTAATATGTATGTAGGACAACTTCACATTTTGGCTTTTTCTCTTTGTTGATCTGAATGCCGAAAAGTATAGGGAAAAAAGCAGTCAGACCCATGCAGCTTGGTCTTCTAGCCTCATATTTGAACATGTTTAGGAAGAAGGAATATTAATAACATCAGTCAGTCTGGGTTAGGTCCCCATTTTGCTCTGCTCTTTGGAACTCCCTGGAGTCCATAGGAGTAGAATTAAACATGTTCAATTATGGAGCACAACGTCTCTTGATCAATGCTTTCTGAAATTGCAGCAAGTTACATCATAACTTCTTTCTTATCATAATATGGCCTTCTGAATAATCAAATCCACAAATCACATTTTTTTTTCATAAAATGTCAGCTTTTTGAGTCACTCATAAATTTAATTAGTGTTTCTTCTCTGTTCAGACATGTACATATGCATCTATTTGAACCCAAAATTTTCTGGGTTTTTTGCATGTTTTGTAGGCATATTAGCATGACTCCTCATATTGTCCACATTTCCATCATAAATTGAAAGTATTTTTATATATTCTAGATACTTTTTCTGGTGTTATATATCAGTAGTACATCATTTTATAAACATTCTCTTTTAAATATCATAGTGTGATTTTCAATCCTTTCAAACATGTTTTCCCACTTTTCTATCAATGTCTTCTGCTGTTAATTTCCAAATGTTTTACTATCTACCTAAAAATATTTCTGTTACCTATGGCCCAGTGGTGAAATTCATTTTTTTTTACTACCGGATCTGTGGGTGTGGCTTGGTGGGCATGGTGTGGCTTGGTGGGTGTGGCTTGGTGGGCAGGAGAAGGATACTGCATAATCCCCTTTCCTTCCCACTCCTGGAGGAAGGATGTTGCAAAATCCCCATTCTGCCCCACTCCTGGGGGAAGGATATTGCAAAATCCCCATTCCCACCCCACTCCAGGGGAAGGATACTGCAAAATCTCCATTCCCACCCCACTCCAGGGGAAGGATACTGCAATATCTCCATTCCCTCTCCACTCCTGGGGGAAGGATATTGCAAAATCTTCATTACCACCCCACTCTGGGGCCAGCCAGAGGTGGTATTCTCTGAACTACTCAAAATTTCTCTACCAGTTCTCCAGAACCTATCAGAACCTGCTGGATTTCACCCCTGATGTTTTCCCCTTGTTCTATCAATTTCAAACTATGTCTTCTGCTGTTAATTTCCAAATGTTCTACTATCTACCTAAAATACCTACCTAAAAATTTTAAATCCTTATGCTGCCATATTCTCCATACTATTGATCCAAATGCACTCAGTAGATTAGCCATGTCTCTTTACCTGATTTTTCTTTCCTGTAAAATGCTTCTTGTGCTAATGTTTATAATGTGCATTTTCAGGCACAGTCTGGATTTATACATCTGTGGAGATTCTCAGTAATCCAGGTCATGATTGTCCCAAAGGTGCTTTTTTCAAAAGGCAACTGGACTTTGTTTTTTCTTGAAGACATTTCACTTCTCATCTATTCTTCAGTTCTGACTGAATGGTGGAGGATGGAAGGATTTATATGCCTTATATAAGTCATATACTGTATATGCAGTCATGTGGTCATTAGCACTCTTTCTGAGAGTCATTGAGGTCACTTGGAGGTTTATCTGTGTCTTCAGAATCACCTGAATAGTGCAAATGGGTGTGGAACTTCTTGGAACTGCTGAAATGACTGTGCTGTAAACAGGAGATAGGTGGTATCATATCCTTCCCCCTCTGTTGAGAAAGGGCTGTTCAATCTTAATATAGATGGCTTCTTTGATCCCTTTTTCAAACCAGCAGTCCTCTCTCTCTAGAATGTGGACTTTGATGTATTCAAAAGAGTGATCTTTCAACTGCAGATGAACTGCCCAATCTTGTTCTTTTCTTTTTTTAAAAAAGAAATTTTAATTAATAGTGGTCTATGCTGGGTACTGGGTCCCCTCTGGTGACCCACCGGGTATAACCCTGTGAACAGAAGAGACCGACACGGATGGAGGACATAAGCCCCCACCTGCGCTGTTTCAGGCTGGGCCCATTTCGGAGCCCAACTCTGCTGAATCTTGTTCTGATGGATTTGTTATCCTATGTTGTGCCATGCATTTGTACAGTGGTTGTTTTGTTTCTCCAATGTACAGATCTGTACATGTCTCACTGCATTTTACTGCATATATCACATTGCTCAGTTTGTGTCTGAATGCTTTATCCTTGGAGTGGACAAGCTATTCCATATTTTTAACATACATCTAATGTTGTGAATTTTAAAACCTAGATTAAGCTAAATTTTACTGTACCATAGAAAACCATGGTACAGTACCACCCAAACCTCAAACATTGTGCAATTCCAGTTTTAAGTTTCCTTTATTTCTGAGCAGAACTCACTCTTTCATCCCAACAAAACAGCAGGATGCAACATACAACTTCAAATGAGTCAGTCCCAATCCTCTTCATTCCTTTGCATCTTGGAGTTTATATTTGTTCTTGGATTTTGCCCTTGCCATATGAACCTATTTATAGCTTTCTGCTACTGATTAAAAGGTGCAGTGGTTGTCAAATAGGTATTAGCCAAGGTGGCACAGTGGTTACAGTGCAGCACTTCAGGCTATTTCAGCTGACTGCTAGCTGCAGTTCGGCAGTTCAAATCTCACTGGCTCAAGCTTGACTCAGCCTTCCATCCTTCCAAGGTCGGTAAAAGGAGGACCCAGATTGTTGGGGGAAAATATGCTGACTCTGTAAACCATTTAGAGAGGGCTGTAAAAGCACTATGAAGCAGTATATAAGTCTATTGCTATTGCTATTATTTGAAACAAACACATCATTCTAGGCATTCATTTTTCTCAAATAAATTCTTTCCTATAATGACAATTGTAGTTTCTCTTATCTAAAGAGGTCATTATTAATTTCATTCCATGTCTTAACTTAATTGTTCTGAAATAGTATACAATTAAGATTTGTCATTATTATATGTTGTATTGTATAATAAACATGTAAATCAGGGGTTAAATGCTCCCGGTTCAGACTGGATCGCCCAATCCGGTAGTGATGGAGGCGGGTGGTTCGGAGAACTGGTAACAAAAATCCCTGCCCCCCCCCAATGCCCAGCTGAGCCGCACAATAATCAGAGGCTCTTTTTTTTAAAAAGCATTTTTTCTTCGGCCAAAAAATGCTTTTAAAAGTTAAAAAAAAAAGCCTCTGATGATCGTGCAGCTCAGCTGGGATCGTCAAAGGCTTTTAAAAGAAAAAAAAAACCCTTTTTTTCTTTTAAATGCCTCTGACGATCCAAGCTGAGTTGCCTGATTTTTTTAAAAAAAATTAAAAAGCCTCTGCCGATCAGGCAACTCAGCTTGGATCGTCAGAGCCTTTTGAAAGCATTTTTTTTACAACATCTTCGCCGAAGAGGTTGTAGAAAAAATGGTTTTAAAAGTTAAAAAAAAAATTGCCCACCCAGTCACATTACCCGCTCCCACCAAGCCACGCCCACAGAACCGGTAGTAACAAATTTTAGTTTTCACCACTGATGTAAATGCAAAAACATGAAAATGAATTTTGTGGTGGAATATTTGTTTTTAAAAAAAACAATTGTAATACAAGTGTGTTGTTCCCCCCACCCGCAAAAAAAAAAAAACAAACCCATAGACGAGAACAATATCTTTGCAGCAATCCAGATGAATCATGCTAGGACATTGTAGTGCATTTTTTTTTTTACTGTTCCCAGTTTTACATATTTTGTCAAGTATTGGATTCACTGAATATTTTAATAAGTATGCCACTAAGAATATAAAAACTAGGGACATTTTTTTTTTTTTGCAAAGTAGAAAACAATTTGAGAACCCAATTTCCCATGCATTTTCCTCTGGAAAAAAAAAAATCTGAGCAATTCAGACTAGAAATCAATTTTTTCTACAAAATATTTTCTGGAAAATATGCTATTTTTCTGGATTGATTATTTGAGATCAAATATTAGCTCAAATACAAATATATGGCTGTTCTTATGTTTTAAAAAAGGTAGTCACTGCTTAGATAAAAATTGGGGTTGTTTATGCATATGTTGCACTTCATTACCTGGGGGGGCGGGAGGGAAGAATTGTTTCTGAACAAATTTAGTAGATTAAAAGCAGCTCATTAGAATGTAACTGGAAACAGAATAATATGCTTATTAAATAAATAACAACAAAAATGGATGTTTATGTTTGCTTCTTTATCAACTGTTCTTTTCTGTTCAGCTGTGGCCTCAGGATAATGATGTAGCATTTGAGCAAAAAGATGCAGCCCAGTAATCCAGCTGCAGAAGCCAAAATAGAGAAGATCTCCACAGCCACCATGTATTTCCCCTTGGTGCTCAGATAGGCAGGAACAAACAACACCCAGACACTGCAAAAGACAAACATGCTGAAGGTAATAAAATAAACACTGTGCGCACTCTGACATCTCTACATGGAACTGGTCCCTGGTGCCCAAAAGATTGGAGGCCACCAGTCTACTGAATGCCTTTGGGAAATATATATCCCTATTGTTATTTATTTGAAAATAAAAAGAACAGATCCACCAACAAGAATACGCTACTTCACTTTTATTTTTATTGGATTTATACAGTTCTTATAAAACTTAATAGATGGGTTTCAATTGTTTTCCTGTATTGAATTTTTGATATCAGATAGAAATAGTTTAAGAAAAGTATATAACTAGTCCTGCATTTTTAAAAGATTGCTATTAAAAGAAAATATAACTGATCCTTAAACAAAGAATGGGGTTGCCTTTCTCATGCAGTGCATAGATTGCTCTTGATTATTTTGGATTATTTTGAACTATCTTGCCAAACTGAAAGCCGGTCAGCAGAGTGAAACTTGAGCTAGAGAAAGAATCTTGATAGAAACACTTAAATAAATATGTAAATAAATAAATCTGGAATTCAATTTTGTTTCTTTATTAACTGTTTCTTTCTGTTCAGGTCAGGTCTCAGCACAATAATGTAGCATTTGGGGAAAAAGATGCAGCTCAGTAATCCTGCTGCAGAAGCCAAAATGGAGAAGATCTCCACAGCCACCATGTATTTTCCTTTGGTGCTTAGATAGGTGGGAATAAACAACACCCAGACACTACAAAAGACAAACATGCTGAAGGTGATAAATTTGGCTTCATTAAAGCTGTCAGGTAGCTTCCTGGCTAGGAAGGCCACTGTGAAGCTGATAGCAGCCAAGAAGCCCATAAAGCCAAGTACAGTGTAAAACATGATGGGTGAACCTTCATTACATTCCAGGACAATTTCTTCAACAATGGAATGCATGTCTGATTCTGGAAATGGGGGAGAAATTGCTAGCCACACACTACAGATGGTGGCTTGCACCAGGGAGCAAGACAGGACAACAGTGTTGGCTAGTTTTTTCCCCACCCATTTCCTGATTTTAGAGCCTGGCTTGGTGGCCATGAAAGCAAGAATCACTATGGTTGTTTTTGTCAATATACAAGAAAGGGCTACAGTAAAGATGATGCTAAAAGCCGGTGGTTGCATGAGACATTTTACTTGGTCTGGTTGTCCAATAAAAAGCAAAGTGCAAAGGAAGGATAAAAGGAGAGCAATGAGTAGAGTATAGGTGAGCCCCCTGTTGTTGGCTTTGACAATGGGAGTGTTCTGGTGTTTAATGAAGATCCCCAGCACCACAGCTGAGATGAAAGAAAAGAGGAAAGCAAGAATGGTCAAAGTGATTCCCAAGGGTTCTTTGTAAGACAAGAAGTTTGTGTGTTTTTTAATGCAAAGAGTGTGGTCCTTATTAGGATAGGTTTCTTCAGGGCATGGGAAACAGTCATCTAACCCTGGAAGAGGAAATAGAGTCATTAAGCAGATAGGAATTCCCAAACTTTTAAGAGTATAAAATTTCAGTGCCTGGAATATCCAGACATTCCTCATAGAATCTGGGAATGCAAGTATTTGAAATCCAACTTATTTGGAAGGCTAGAAATATTTAAAACTGTCTGTAGAACACAATCCTTTGAAATTACTTTGAGATTACTTAGTCAGATATCATTACACACACACACACACACACGTACGTATATATATATATATATATATATATATATATATATATATATATATATATATATATGTCTTTTTCTTTTTTGTAGGCTTTTATGTGCATATTCTTTCTAGCCAGGTTTTACCTACGTAAACTAAGTTGTTTTGCAGCTCTGGTTGTGTGAAATCTCATTCAAGTCAACAGAAAAAAAGCCCTGAAGTTTGTGAATGAGATTTCACACAACCAGAGCTGCAAAACAACTTAGTTTACGTAGGTAAAACCTGGCTAGAAAGAATATGCATATATATATATATATATATATTCGTAGATTTTCACGGGTACAGGTATGCAAGTCTTGGCATATTTGGATCTTTTCCCATGTAAGATTGAGAGTATCTTGGCGACGTTTCGACGCGGTCCCACTCATCATCTTCAGGCTGGTGTCTTCAGTTTCATGCTTGTGCAAGCAATATATATATATATGTGTGTGTGTGTGTGTGTGTGTGTGTGTGTGTGTATACACACTCACTAATTATATATATAAATATATATATATATATATATAGATATAGATATAGATATAGATATAGATATAGATATAGATATAGATATAGATATAGATATAGATATAGATATAATTTCTGAGGTTTTCGCGGGTGCTTGTATGTAGGTCTTTGGTTATTCGGGTTTTCTCCCACGTAAAATTGGAAGTGTCTTGGCGACGTTTCGCCGAAAACACCAGCCTGAAGATGACGAATGAGACTCTGTCAAAACGTCACCAAGACACTTCCAATTTTACGTGGGAGAAAACCCGAATAACCAAAGACCTACATACATATATATATATGGGTGGGTGTTGGCCTTAATGGCCAACCACCCCTGGATTGGGCTTTCCTGTCTCGCTACTCCTACTCTCACCTCAAGGAAGATCTTGTGCCCGTGGGTCTATTATCATCTTTATTAACATCTTTATTATTACCATCGTTATTAACATCTACACTTTGGACACTTTGGACCCCTTATTATGCTCCACTCATGCCCTCATGTGGTCTTCCGGGTGCGATTCAAGGTGTTGGTTACCACCTTTAAAGCGCTCCATGGCATAGGACCCGGGTACCTCCAAGACCGTCTTCTGCCACCAATAGCCTCCCACCGACCAGTTCGTTCCCACAGAGAGGGTCTCCTCAGGGTGCCATCAGCCAAGTTATGTCGGCTGGCGATGCCCAGGGGGAGGGCCTTCTCTGTGGGAGCCCCAGCCCTGTGGAACGAACTGCCCCCGGAAATTCGTAAGATCTCCGACCTCCAGGTGTTTCGCTGCACATTGAAGACCCTGTTGTTCTGCCAGGCCGGACTATCAACACAATAGTTTTAAATTGGGGTATTTAAATTTATTGGGGTTTTAAATCTGAGCCACTTTATTTAATTATTTTAAATTTTATATTGTTGTTTTGTCTGTGTTTTTAAATAGGCTGTACACTGCCCTGAGTCCTTCGGGAGAAGGGCGGTATAGAAATAAAATTATTATTATTATTATTATTATTATTATTATTATTATTATTATTATTATTATTATTATTATTATTTTTATTATTTTTATTATTTTTATTATTTTTATTATTTTTATTATTTTTATTATTTTTATTATATATATATATATATATATATATTTGTTTGTTTGTTTGTTTTCGTAAAACACACACACACATACACACATATATTTTTTATTATTTACATATAAGTATATCGAACACAGTGTGGCCATCCTGGCATTTTATCCGCCAAAGTGAAAGACAAATAACATGTATACTACTTAGACAGTGCTAGTCTTGTATAGTTATTTTTGACCAACATAACCAGAGGTGAAATGCTACCAGTTTGGGCTGGTTCTCCCAAACTGATAATAAAAAATGCTACTGGTTCACCGAACCAGTAGTAAAAAATGTAAAATGTAAAAAAGTTTTTTAAAAAAAATTCTGATGATCAGCTGAGCAATGCACGATCATCGGAACTTCTCTCTTTTTTTTTTTTACTTTTTTAGCATATTTTTACTACCAGTTCGGGCAAATAGGTAGTAAAAAAATGCTTTTAAAAGATAAAAAGAAAGGTTCCTATGATCGCACGGCACAACTGTGATCTTCGGAGCCCTTTTTTAAACTTTTAAAAGCATTTTTTTATTAATGGTTCCGGCAAATAGGTAGTAAAAAATGCTTTAAAAAAGTAAAAGAAAAGTTCCAATGATCGTGCAGCAAAGTTGTGATTGTCAGAGCCTTTTTTTTAACCTTTTAAAAGCATTTTTTTCTTACCAGCTCGGGCGAATAGGTAGCAAAAAAATGCTTTAAAATTTTTTTTAAAAAAAAGAGGCACTGACGATCACAGCTGTGCCGCACGATCGTTGGAACCTTTTTACTACCTATTCGCCCGAGCCGGTAGTAAAAAGTGCTTTTAAAGTTTTTTAAAAGGTTCCCACACGCGCCACAGCTGATTACCCCCTCCCCCGCACTGTGCTACTTACCTTCCCAAGTCTCCTTTTGTAAAGAGTGAAAGCATCAGACTGGCACTAGCGTTGGCAGTGGCACATGGTCATCAAATTTGGCATTTTGACATAACCACTGCATTCCTCAATGCAGAATTAGAGGAAGACATTTACATGGTTCAGGCACCAGGGTATGAAAGTAAAAAAAAAGCCTAACACGGTGTACAAATTGAACAAGACCATTTATGGGCTGAAGCAGTCAGCCAGGAATTGGAATATATGTTTAGATGCTGCATTGAAGAGTCTTGGGTTCAAGAGTTGCAAGGCTGATGGTTGTATATACACTGGAAAGTTACTAGGTGGGGATTGTCAAATATTAATGTTTGTGGGTGATCTTTGTTTCATTGCAAAGGATGTATCACAGTAAAAGGGTTCTCAGGTATTTGCAGGGAACTGTGAATGTGGGTATTCAAATACAGGTATCTGAAGAATATTAAGGTAATTTGATTATGTCTATTCCAGTCATGAAGGGAGGAGTGTCAGAATAGTCATGACTGGGAAGACATGGTAACAAGGTCTGCCAATGAATAAGCATAGCAAGTAAGTCAGCCAATTGAGAGCTGAGACAGACTGGAGCCAGGGCATGTCTTAGTCTGCAGCTTCTGATTCTATGCAGAGAAAGAGAAACTGAAACCAGTGTGTGTTAAGCTCTGAGCTGTGAAGCTCTGTGTGTGAACTTGTCTGCTGATCTGAGCTGAACTGAAACTGTTCTCAACTATTGTATATATGTATTCTTGTATATAAAGAAGTTTCTTATTTAAATGAATCCTGCTGAATCAGTTTATCTGTGTGTGCTTCTGGATTTGATTTTTGCAAGAAACTCTGACACATTCCAAACTTACTAACCTTCAGAGCTAATAAATATAAACATTTGTCAATCATCACAGCAAAACAGGACAGGAAACACAAATAGATGAAGTAATTCTACATTGTTTTAAGACTATATTAAAAGAACATTGCAGGTCCAAAAATACAAAAGGCAGCACCCTGCCCCTCTTCCCCCAAAGTCATACTGATATCCCATTACAACACTTCTTGCATGACATCTCTCACCTGTCTGGTTGGCAATTTTGCCTTCTGGGCAACGAAGGCAATTGTAACAGCAAAATGGCTTCCCTTCAATTTTGATCTTGTTGTGTCCCAAGGAGCAAGGTTCATTGCACAAAGAAAGAGATTGTGACTGTGAATGAATTGAATAAATAAAAGTGCAATACATTTAGAATTTAAAGATTGGCAATCTAGAAAACATTATTTTTGAGGAATCATATTCTTCTTTCTTTTTTATTACAATTATGAAAAATTCTAAGCTAGTGTATAAGGCTTGTATTATCCTTTAAAATACCCTTCTGGTATGGACCATGTAATGGAGAAGTCTCTCTTGACAGAGCCCAAAGGTTAGGATTAATTAACTCAGAGGTACAAATACACTGAGTTGCTTTTTCTTATGCAAAATCATCTTCAAAATCTTGTGCATTCAGAAATATTTTTTTCAAAGGTGATTCTTCCAAAAGGCAACAGGATTTTTTTCCCTTGAAAATGTCTCACTTTTCATCCAAGAAGCTTCTTCAGTTTTTGTACTTAATTCATTAAATGGTGCACCTCAGAGATCAACTGTAGCATGAGTGCTGTAACACCTCTTGAAGAAAAATAAATAAAATATACCTGATTAAATGTGTTTGGCCAGACAATGTCATCCTCCGACAGAGAGAGAGGGCTTTCTAGTTGAGCTGATGGATGTACTTTTCCAACTTTGATCTTAAGAAAGGTTTGATTTGGGAAGATGACCCAATTCATAATGTCAAAACCACTTGTAACCTTCCCATTCTGGTCAAAGGACATATTTTCTCCAGCACTGTTGTTAAATGAGATTTTTCTCAGATGGTGGTGAAACTTAAGTGAAAAACATGACAGTAATTAATAAAAGGTATGAAGAATGACAAAATATACAATAATATTATTTCAAAAGATATTGATGTGTTTCTGAAGAATGATCATAATAGCACTAATTCATCAGTTCCATCAGAGTAGGAGAAGAATCACAAAGTGAAACAGAGAAGCATTAATGATTAGGGGACTGGAGGCTAAAACATGAAGAATGGTTGCAGGAATTGGGTATGTCTAGTTTAATGAAAAGAAGGACTAGGGGAGACATGATAGCAGTGTTCCAATATCTCAGGGGTTGCCAAAAAGAAGAAGGAGTCAAGCTATTCTCACCTGAGGGTAGGACAAGAAGCAATGGGTGGAAACTAATAAGGAGAGAAGCAACTTAGAACCAATGAGAAATTTCCTGACAGTTAGAATAATTAATCAGTGGAACAACTTGCCTCCAGAAATTGTGAATGCTCCAACATTGGAAGTTTTTAAGAAGATGTTGGATAACCATTTGTCTGAAATGGTAGAGGGTTTCCTGCCTAGGCAGGGGGTTGGAAGGGACTCCAAGGTCCTTTCCAACTCTGTTATTCTATTCTGTTCTGTTCTGTTCTGTTCTGTTCCGTTCTGTTCCGTTCTATTAATTAAGAATATAACATCTCTCCTTTCATGTCTATTATTCACATGTACATGACACTACCATGTTGTTTTCCTTACTATCATTTGGCATCCACTTCAATCTTTCTCCTCACCCTGGTCTCACTCCTCTCTTTTTTGTAATTTTCATTTTCAGTGACTGAAGACACCAGATTTTGTCCTGTTTTTCTCTCCCATAGTTATACAACTATCTTTAAAGCAGAAATGTCTTTTAAAAATTTACTGTTGTATGCGCTGAGACAAAAATTCATGAATTTCTCCATGTGAAGAAAAGCTACCCTCACCATCCTTAAAGATCAGGACTCCATCTTAGAATACTACTAATGAGAAAGCTCCATAAGGAGTTGTTCTTCATCTGGGATCTTCATCTACAATTTAATTAAATTATAAATATGGATGAGGAGATACAATAGTTGCAGTTCCACTTTGATTACCATAAAGTGTTGCATTGTTGCAAACAAGAACTGGTATCATTTATTAATAACTAGCTGATAATCCAGCATTACCTGGGTATTTATTTATCCCAATCTTGTATTAGACAAGAAGAGCAACTTCACCCTGAGCCCTGATTTCAGCGAGAATTAAATTAGTTAAAAATGTTTTCCCTGTGCCCCCAGAAGCGTCAAGTAAAATGATACCACCTTATTGTTTTGCTAGCTGATCCACGATCATTTGATATGCTTTTTTCTGATCTTGATTTAGAAGTGGCTTCTTGTCCATGATATATGCATTAAGCTGTTTGATGTTGTAGTTCTTTTCTCATATGTAATCTGTGTGAAGTACATTGTGTTGGTCTCGTAGTGGTGCAGGCAGGCCATGTTGCAGTAATGTTTTATTGATCATGGCCATACATTTGTCCTCAAGAATAATCAAAGCCTTGTTGAAAATGTCTGGCCCAAATGTAATTTCTAATGTTGGATTTTCCCCCTTATTAGAGGGAGCCCCCTTGTGGAGTACTGTGAAGCCGTTATCATGGCAACTCCACTGTGCTGCACAGTAGAAGCCATTTTAGGGCAGTACAGTAGAAGCCATTTTAAGGCACAACAGGCTGGATCTTAATAGAACACATACCCCGAGGGGTGTAAGGGGTGTCTTACTCCCACAGTATTTGTTTCCAGAGAGTAAATCATCTGTATACCAAGTTTGGTTGAAATTGCTTGAGGCATTCCAGAGTTATGCTGGAACACACACACACACACACACACACACACACACACACACACACACACAGCTCTTTTTTATATATAGATATATAAGGTCCATATCAAATATGAATATAAACAATCAAAATATCTGGAACTTTGTGTCATAAAAAAATAAGTTGATATGGGATGGAGAGATGTGGACGTTCTGATCCATCTAAGTCATTTCTCCAGTTTAAATTTAAATTAGTTTCTACATATTATGTGAACTGCTGTAGTTATGGAAACAATTATTATCTGCTAGATTAGAAAATATAAGAGATTACCTGCCATACTTGATGATTGAGAAGCTTCTGTTTCCCACTACCAGCCATTGCTCTATGTTTGGAGTGGGGTGTAAGCATGGCTTGGAGAGCATGTGCCATGGCATAGACTGCATTGTAGATACTATAGCTTTGCCCAGTCATGCTCAATTCAAAAGCAGAGCTTGGAAGTGTCTCCAGCTTCTCTTCCCCAGTGCACCTTTTCTGTGACTTGGGGTCTAAAGTGAAATTTGAGAAAGAACATTCAAAGGCTTGCTCCCAAAAGACCTTTGAAAAACTATTTTCATTTTCTAGAATGAAAATATTTCTAGTCTGAAGAAATGTATCAAAACCTAATAATTCTTTAGATGAAACTGCAAAAGAAAGAGCCCCACAGATGAACTCGATATTGCTGTTTCTTTGAAATGAAACTGAAGTGAATTCCATCTGGGCTGGGAAAATCCAAACTTTATCTTTCATCTCAACTGTTGTGTCCAAATATTCTGAAACAGATGGTATTATTCTGAAAATTGCCATGACCTGGTTTTCAGAATATATGATTGCAACACTGGAGGTACTTGTCATAATGATTTTGTATACTTTAAGAAAATTATCTACTTTTTCTCCCAGCTCATTGGAAAAAGCTTCTGGGGGAAGTTCTGCAAAATAATCAAAACAGATTCCTTTTTCTGAAAACATGGTAAGCACTTCCCTCAGAAATCGTTCACCAATCTCATTTTCTTGACAAATCAATCCAATCCAGGTCCACTTAAAATGCAGCAGCAACTGGAGGATCCCCATAATTTGAAGATGTTCATTTGGAAACATCTGATGGTAAAAATCTGTATGGATCATGTTATCCGTCACTGGAGCAGAGCCATATGTTAACTAAGGGGGAAAAAATACAGAATTCACTGTAACAGCACTGCCAGAAAGGCATTAAGAATTGTTAATCTTGCGAAGCTTCTTCTCCAGTAATATTGTATTGCTAACTAGGACATACAAAACCTTTGCCAGACCAATTCTTGAATACAGCTCATCCGCCTGGAATCCACACTGTATATCGGACATTAACACGATTGAGTGGGTCCAGAGGTATTTCATGAGAAGAGTACTCCACTCTGATCTAAGCATAGAACACAAAAATGTCTGCTACAACATCTTACCTGTCAATGACTTCTTCAGCTTCAACCTCAATAATACATGGGCAAACAATCAAGGTAAACCGCTCCAAACTTGTTTGCAGGAAATACGACTTCAGCAACAGAGTGGTCAACACCTGGAATGCTCTACCCAACTCCATTATTACAGCCTCAAACCCTCACAGCTTCAACCTTAAACTGTCTACCATGGACCTTGCCCCATTCCTAAGAGGTCCATAAAGGGGGTATGCATAAGTGCACGAGCATGCCTACCATCCCTGTCTTACTGTCCCAATTTATCTGTACTTACTTTCTTTGTTTATGTTTATGTTTATACCTATACATGCTATCTTTTACATGTTTGGCAAACAAACTAACTAACTAACTAACTAACTAACTAACTAACTAACTAAACAAACAAACAAACAAATAAATAAAATGAATAGGTATTTGTAATGAAATGTGAGAACAAACTTGGGAGACAGGAGGAGGAGATGTAGACTAGACAAATCTCATGCAAAAGTATCTTGGTCCACAGACATAGTGGAGGCATAGGAAGACTTTCGGAAAGGATCCTTCTAAATACTTTAAATCTTGCAAGGTTCTGTTACTGTAATTTTACTGTGTGTGTGTGTGTGTGTGTGTGTGTGTACAGAACAATTGAAGTATCGTTATTATGATAGATGAATGCCAACTAGACACACATCACATTTTGGTTGTGGGACCTTAGGCATAGTGTTGGAAGAAAGCTTGGAAATATTACACAAAGCAAGAATCCTCTTACCATCCCTGAGGGATGGTTTTACAAGATTTTCTTGAAAAGCATCAGGGATGAAAACCCCATAAATCCATGACTCAAGACTGTTTCACTGTTTAGCAGCTCTCTAGGAAATGTTCTAGTGAAGGAGTGTCCCTGTTCTTTGAGGCTGAGGGACATACTTAGAATATTCAAAGCTTGTTATGAATGCTTTCAGACAATGGCAGATATGGGAATGTGGTAGGGAGACCTTTTGTTTATTCACAGAATAAATTTTATTAAGAAGATAACTGTCAGGTTTTGATGTCGTCTCAAATAAATTGCATTTCCAAACAAATAGTCTTTGATGAAATCTTTCATTTATTAAGCATGACAATCTGCCCCCGATTATGTCGTAGCCAACACTGACTTCCTGACCCCAAACCTTCCCTTTCCGTTCCCCCATTCTCTCCATCTCATTGGCCATCTTCCAAATCACTCTCCCCACATCTACTACTTCAGCTCCCAGGAATGTCCCCCCTTCCATTCCATCTCCTAGGGGATATTATCTTCAGGGAAAATAAGTAGGTGAAAAGTCAAGCGTCCTTTTGCCAGCTGCCCCCTCTTCTCCTCCTTATGTCAGCACTGGAACGAATGTAGTTTGGAGTGCTGACAATAACTTCATAAGGTTTTAAATCTTTTATTTTTTCCTTTAAAATTTGTCTAACCTTAGGTATGAACACTATTCCACTCACTCACTCACTCCTTTCTTTCTTTCTTTCTTTCTTCTTTCTTTCTTTCTTTCTTTCTTTCTTTCTTTCTTTCTTTCTTTCTTTCTTTCTGTTCCTTCCTTCCTTCCTTCCTTCCTTCCTTCCTTCCTTCCATCTTTCCCTCTTTCTTTCCCTTTCCTTCTATATTCTTGGATATACAAATGTTGGGGCAGATGTTTCATATGTATGCATTGCTTGAAGCAGTCATATCTTTTCATAAAATAAATTCTTCTTACTGTGATTATCTGATAAACACCAGTTAGCACCTGAAAAAATGTGTTATGTGGCCAGATCTTATTTAAAAATTGGTTGTCATTAATTAAACCACTTCCTCATTAAAGAGGAAGTCATATTATCGATAGGATTTTTTTTTGTTGTTGTTCCGCAAGTCTTACCTGTGGAATCTTGTAAATGCTCAAAATGTCTGCCATAACTTGAGAGATATGAGAATTGGGTCCCGCAATAACACAAACTAAATTTTGGTTGATGTTGCATTTATAGTTGGGAACAAATCTGTCATGTGAAGAAAGAAGCTCCATAGAAGCAAGGTAGGTCCACGTTGCCATGAAATAACTGTTATATATATCAAAGCCCAAAGTGATGTTTGGCAAGATCTGTGGATTTTCATTGATTTCCTTTACAGCGAAGATCAAGGATAAGATATGCTGGTAGATCTGTAGAAATATACTTCAAGAGAGGGTAATGCCTTTTGTTTCCAAACAGAGAAGTTGCCAAAATAGGCTGTATACTTTGCCCTTACTGATCCATAAAATTGAATACAGCTGTTTGGAAGACAAACTTCCTTTTCTTCTCCATTTCTTTTAATAGCCTAAATTATCTTTTTTGCAATGTTTTCATAGCATTGGGATATTTCTATCTCATTTTGAAAGTTACAAATGTCGTATATTGAGCCACATTAGAAATTGCAATATGGTAATGGTAATATCTAAAACTTCTTCAGCTCCTAAGAAATCCTCTCTAAGATGTCAAATATGTTTGACTAGTGAGAAAGAATTATACAGATGGGTTAGACTGCAAAACTGCCAAAATGAAATTCAATGGAAGAATGCAACATTCTTTCAAAATATTAAGTAAAAGTGTTGTGCTTTCATGTTTATATTGTCTATGTATTGACATTCAAAAGAATTCTGTCTCTCCCCTTCAACTTTTCATAATTTCTTCACTTTCTTCATATCTCTACACCATTGTAATTAAACCCCCCTTTCAAGATAATAAATTTGTATTTGAGGTATCTAGGATTGTACTTTTGGTTACAAAGAATTGGCTCAAGTGTTCCTCTGGAAACAAAATGTTGGCCATTTGTACTACTAGTTTGGTTACTGTCATTATGTAAAATAATCCTACAGATCTCTCACCTCTTTTTCCTGATTGCACCTTAAAGAATTCTTCTTAACCATTTTCTAGTTCTATCTCACACTCAGAATAACAGAGTTGGAAGGGACCTTGGAAGTCTTCTTGTCCGACCCACTGCTCAAACAGGAAATTCTATACCATGTACTACTAACTAGAGCATACAAAACATTTGCTAGATCAATTCCCAAATACAGCTCATCTGTTTGGAACCTGCATTGCATATCGGACATTAATACAATTGAGAGAGTCCAGAGATATTCCACGAGAAGAGTCCTCCACTCCTGTGCTCGCAACAGAATACCTTATGCCACCAGACTTGAAATTTTGGACTTAGCCACTTAGAACTATGCCACCTTCGGTCTGATCTAAGTGTGGTACATATATATTTTTTAAAAATTTGATTTACCGCCCTTCTCCGGAGACTCAGGGCGGCTTACAATGCGTTAAGCAATAGCCTTCACACTTTTGTATATTTATACAAAGTCAGCTTATTGCCCCCATAATCTGGGTCCTCATTTTACCTACCTTAGAAAGGAAGGAAGGCTTGAGCCTGGTGAGATTTGAACTTGCAGTAATTCCAGGCAGCAGATGTAAGTGGATGTTACTTAGTCTGCTGAGCCACCAGAGCTCTTTTTTTATCTGCTACAATGTCCTACCTGTCAATGACTTCAGCTTCAACCACAACAATACACGATAGATACAAATTTAAGGTAAACCACTCCAAACTAGATTGCAGAAAATACAACTTCAGCAACAGAGTGGTCAATGCCTGAAATGCACTTCCTGACTCTGTGGTCTCTTCCCCAAAACTTTACCCTTAGACTGTCTACTGTCGACCTCACCCTATTCCTTTTTTTTTATTTTAAAAACAAAACTTTATTAAACATATAAAAAGTAAAATGTTATACCATATATATACAAGATACATATACTAATACAGACAACAATCCATAAAAAGAAAAAGTGACTTTGGTCTCACGTCCATTATCTTATTAACGGTGCATATTTGTTAATTATTATTATCATACAGAATTTTACATTTACTCTCATTTCTACGAGTTGCCCAATTATACAACCTATTCCACACTATATAACCTTTTGAGTCTACCTTATCCTTCATTTCAAATGTTAGTTTGTCCATTTCTTTTGGATTATCAATTGGTCTGTTGGCAGTTGATCAGTTTTCCAATATTGGGCAATATTGCACTGGCTGCAGTGACTATGTGTAATATTAAGTACTTTATTTCTTTCCTATAGTTTTCTTTAATCATCCCTAGTAGAAAAATCTCTGGTTTGAGTTCTATTTTTTCCAATATTATTTCTATTAACCAAATCCTTATTTTTTCCCAATATTTCCTAATTTTGGGGCAGAGCCACCAGACGTGGAAGAAGGTGCCCTGTGCCTGATTTACCTCACCCCATTCTTAAGAGGTCTGTAAGGGACGTGCATAAATGCACTAACGTGCCTATCCTCCCTGTCCTAATGTCCCCTTTTATTCATAACCATCTCATGTATTCACAATCATGTTTATACTCTTATCTGTATAAGAGTATCATATATAATCTTATATATGCTTGACAAAATAAATAAATAATAAAATAAATAAATTTCCAGTAAATGGTTGTCTAATCCATTCTTAAAAACCTCTAATATTGGAGCATTCACAACTTCTGGAAGCAAATTGTTCCACTGATTAATTACTCTAACTGTCAGGAAATTTCTCCTTCGTTCAAGGTTGGTTCTCTCCTTGATTAATTTCCATCCATTGCTTCTTGTCCTGCCTCCCCCTCAAATTCTCTCTCAGGACCTTACTTCATATATGTAAGAAATGGAATGCTGACTAGAAATGTTTATGGCAGAAAAGTATGCTGAGACTTTATATTTATAAAAGGCTTTATAAAACACACTTCTGAACTGAAAGCTTGAACTATTGTATCTATTTCTATTCTTCACTTCTGAATTCTAGCCAGACTCAATCAATAAAAAAAAAAGTAACATGGAACCAAAAGCTGTTAACTATAGCCACATAAGTAGAAATTCTTCTGCGTGAAATGTGTATTTAGTTGGCAAAATGAGATGTTTTACTTAACTTTCATCTCATAGAAATGTGACCTGAAATATTGTATGCCAAATATGATCTGATCAATTACATATATACAGTACTATGTTGGAATTGGTGTGTCAGAAAAGTTTGGAACAGAAACATTTGAAAGCTAGAAAGCAGAGACTAGGGCAAAACTCAGATATCTGTTGAACAAGACCAAGTGCATTGCTATAAATTTGTGGAGCAAAAGCATGTCTTGTGGCTAACCCAATTATTATAAAGTACTGAAGGAATAGAATAGAATAGAATAGAATAGAATAGAATAGAATAGAATAGAATAGAATAGAATAGAATAGAATAGAATAGAATAGAATAGAATAGAATAGAATAGAATCTCTGAGCAAAAGAAGGATAAATAAAAGGAGGTGAAAGTTACATTTATCCAGCCAGATATGACAGCTAAGAATGACAACTACATACATGGGATCATCAAGAAGTTCTTCTGATGGAATTCTTTTGAAAGTGATTAGGTTAGACATCATGTAAATCAGAGAAATAATGCCACCAATGATGAGATCAGCTGAATGGTAAGATTTGTATTTAATACTAGGCTTGTCAATGGTGCATTTAACATCATGGCATATCACCTGAGAAAGCAATTTTATCACCCACAACCTGAAGAGTAGCATAGCAAATCACTGATGTGCATTAGCCAAATATTCATTGATACAGCTTCTGAATGTAAGACAATGCAACGTTTTGCTTTTTTTCTCATAAATGATCTGAACACAGAAATGTACAGCAAAAACTATCAGAATCACACAGCCTTGTTCTTGAAACCTCCTTTTTGAGTAAATTTAAGAACAAAGAGTATTAATAACATCTGTCAGTGTGGGTTGGGTTCTTGTCTTGCACTGCTTTTTAAAACTCCCTAGAGTACAAAATGAAACATGGTTATTTATGGGCATGATGATTCTTGCTCTTTTGAAATTGCAGAAGAAAATAATTGATCTCATATTGGTGTAAATGTTTTCTGACTATCTGTACAGCAACCCAAACAGTTAGATAGCAGAAAAATAGATTGTTCTGAAAGGTAAAGAAGATCAAGGAAGATAATAAACAAACAAAAAAAAAACCCCCACAAACAAACAAACAAACAAACCAAACAAATAACACAACATAGAATAGAATAGCATTCTTTATTGGCCAAGTGTGATTGGACACACAAGGAATTTGTTTTAGGTGTATATGCTTTCAGGGTACATAAGGAGAATAAAATACATTCATCAAGAATAAAAAGATACAATACTTAGTGATAGTCAAGGTTACTAATAAGCTATCAAGTCGTACTAGGAAACAAATAAAAACAATATAATTGAAAGATACAAGCAACATGGGAAGAGATAGATACTAGTAAGGAAGAGAAGAATAATAGTAATATAGTCTTAGTAAATTATTTGACAGTGTTGTGGGGATTAGTTGTTAAGCAGAGTGATGGCATTTGGGAAAAAAAACTGTCCTTGTGTCTAGTTGTTTTGGTGTGCAGTGCCCTGTAGCATCTTTTTGAGGGTAGAAGTTGAAACAATTTACATCGAGGATATGAGGTGTCTGTAGATATTTTCACAGCCCTCCTTTTGACTCGTGCAGTATACAGGTCCTCAATGGAAGGCAGGTTGGTAGCAATTGTTTTTTCTGCAGTTCTAATTATCCATTGAAGTCTCTGTTTGTCTCGTTTGGTTGCAGAGCCAAACCAGAAAGTTATGGAAGTGCAGAAGACAGACTCAATAATTCTTCTGTAGAACTGCAGCTCTTTGGACAGTTTGAGCTTTCTGAGTTTGCACAGAAAGAACATTCTTTGTTGACCTTTTTTGATGACATTCTTGATGTTAGGTGTTCATTTTAAGTCCTGAGATATGATAGAACCTAGAAACTTGAAGGACTCTACTGTTGATACTGTGTTGTCTAGTATTGTAAGAGGTGGTAGTATAGGAGGTTTTCTTTTAAAATCTACCACTATTTCTATGGTTTTGAATGTATTTAGTTCAAGATTGTTCTGGTTGCACACAAGGCTAGTTGTTCAACCTCCTGTCTGTATGCAGATTCATCGTTGCCTTGAATGAGACCAAAGATATAACATAAACATAACATAACAATGAAAAAAACAAGTTTTCTTAATTTGTACTGTTATAGGAGGCATAGCATCAAAGTCAGTTTTGAATATAGAGTAGGCTAGCGAAGATATATCCCAATATACATCCCAATTGTTGGAAATGCGGCCATGGCCAAGGCACCTTCTTTCACATGTGGTGGACATGCCCGGAAGCTAAAGGATATTGGAGTAAGATCAGGAGATGGTTACACGAAATAATTGGGGAAGATATTGAACTAACACCAGAGATTTTCCTCCTGGGAATAATAAAGAAGCCATATAGAAAGGAAATGACACATTTAATGATCCATATAATTACAGCCGCTAGATTGGCATACGCACAGTTTTGGAAAGAGAAAATTCAACCACCAGAAGAGCTTACAATTAAGAAAATACTCGAGTGCGCAGAGATGACTAAATTAACTTATGAATTAAATGATGAAAGTCAGTATACTATATGGTGTGGGAAAGGTGGTACAAGTGGTTGCATGATAAAATGGAAGAAAGATCAAAGGTGTGTTAAATATTGGTTAAAAGTGAGTCAAAATATCAACAAGTATTATTTATGTAAATAGTTAAAACACTGCATATCCGATACAAATTGAAAATGCTTATTATATTTATGTGTTCTACGTTATGGTTTGAATGATTGTTTTGTTTGTTTGTTTGTTTGTTTGTTTATTTGTTTGTTTTTTCTCATTTATTTCCTTTTTGTTCTGTAAAAAATCTCAATAAAGTCTATTAAAAAAAAACAAGTTTTCTTAATTTGTACTGTTATAGGAGGCATAGCATCGAAGTCAGTTTTGAATATAGAGTAGGCTTTCAAAACAGGAAAAAAAATAGTCAAAACGTTTTATTATCTATTAGAAATTGCTCATAGTTTTAGATCACCAAGAATTCATTACTTTTCTCTGGTCAACAATCCTTTAAATAATTATAATTTATATTAAATAGATTTTCAGCATTAAAATTGGATCATTTTGAATTAAAATGAAAAATAGGGAAGAGTAATAAAACGTGAAGAAGAAATAAAGCAAAAGAAATAGAGCAAAATGAAGAAGAAATAGAGAAAGTGGCATAAATAAGTGGCTTCTGAACAGCAGTTAAGATAAGTAAATACATTTATATTTTGCCCTCTGTTTCTAAGGTTACATCATAGTTTCCTTTTTTCATAATATCTTTTAAATCCATACATCACATTTTTCTCTTTCAGTAAAAGGTCTGTAAAATATTTTGAGTCACTAATAAATGTAATTACTGTTCTTTCTCTAATCAATATGTAGGCACTGTATTTTTTGGAGTATAAGATGCTCCGGAGTATAAGACTCACCTTAGTTTTTGAGGAAGAAAATAAGAAAAAAAAAATCTGCTTCTGCTTATCAGCATCCATTGGTATTCATCTGGCTAGCGTCCTGTCAATGTGTGAGAGAGTTGAGGGCTGTTTGGAAACTGAAACAGTATTTGCTGTGTGAGCAACAAGGAGACAACAAGGAGCCTGGGCGTGGCTTAGCTCAACTGTTCTGTACTAAAGCTGCATGCTGTGCTGAGCTCTGAAACTAAAACTGAAACTGAAACTGAAACTCCTATCCTCTGCTTGTGTTTTGCTTGTATTTACTACCACGTTGGAAAACCTGCTTTTGGTGTTGTATATTTACTTCATGTGTTATATTTCATATAAAGATAAGTTATTGAATCCTGCTAAATCACTTACTTGTGTGTGCTTTCTGGATGTGATTGCTGCTGCAAACTCTGACACATCCTTGCAGCAAATAGCAAACAGCCAGGTCAGCTTCAGCACATTATTGCAACCTGATTCAGCACACGCAGCTGATTGGCGGGTGGATCAGCCTCCTGGAATACCACCAATCAGCTGTTCCAGGTTGCAGGGATTGCCACAGACCATCACCGCCTCTGTGCCTCGTGTTTTTGGCCTTGTGAGTGTGGCTACATTCAGTGTATAATATGCACCCAAATTTTCACCCTTTTTTTGTGCGGGGGCAAAGTATGTCTTATACTCCAAAAAATATGGTAGGTAGGTAACCCCAAAATTTTCTGGTATTGTTATATACAAGTTCATCAGACATATTAACATGACTCCTCATGTTGTCTGCATTTCCAACATAAATTAGAAACTTCTTTATGCATTCCAGATAATTTTTATGATGCTATATATCAGTGGTATATTATTTTATAAAAAATATTTTTAAAATTATTTTAAAATGTAAATTCCACTCCTTTCATACATGTTTTCTTGCTGTTCTTTCAACTTCAAATTATGTCTTCCATTGCTCATCTCCAAATGTCCCACTATCTATCTGAAATAATTGATATGGCTTCTGAATATAGGGTAATCTAACATTCTGACTTTTTCTCCTGGATGATCTGAAGGCAGAACAGTGTAGGAAAAGAAGACTCACACAACCCTGCTCTTCATGCCTCATCTTTGGATATGTTTAGCAACAAAGACTATTAATAACATCAGTCTTATTTGGATTCCAATTCACTGTGCTGTTTGTAATGCCCTAGGGTTCAGGAGTGTAGAATTAAACATGGCCAATTAAAGGACACAACCACTGTTGAACACAACAGTTTCATGAAATTGCAGCAATAACAATTGATCTAATCTTGATGTGATGTGCTTTCTGTGTAGCAGCAATAGGGGGGAAAAAAGATCACAATCAAAAATAAAGAAAACCAAGGAAAATAAATACTCAAATAAATAACTTTAATAGGAAAAAGAACAATTTTTCCAGCTTTGCACTGGTATATATGGAATGACTTAGAATTCAGTTTTGCACTTGCAGTAGGCTTCCAAAATGAGAAAACAGCCTTATTCAATCAAAAATATTTCTGGAAGATAATGAAACTTTTTGATTGAATACAGCTGTTTTCTCCTTTTTAGAGTCTTAGATTACCACAAGTTTATTATTCTTCTCCAGCAAAAAGCCCTTGAAATATAGTAAAATTGATTTGTTTTACAAAATGTATGGACAATACTGCTGTTATGGTTGATTGACTCAAACTTGATTTGTGGTGCTTACAAGAAGAAGTCCATAAATTTGTATTGATACTTTCAGAAAGGGTTTACTACTCTGTTCTACTTAGGGCCAAGAGGGAATGACTGTATCAAATGACTATGGAGATTCTTAGTCATCCAGTTCATGGTTGTCCCAAACATGCTTTTTTCAAGAGGCAACTGGACTTTCTGGTTTTTCTTTGAAGATGTTTTGCTTCTCATCCAAGAAGCTTCTTCAGTTCTGACTGGATGGTAGGGAATGGAAGGATTTATACTCCTTGCAGACAGCTGCTCATCTGCATCCTTTTAGAGAGTCAGTGAGGCCACCTGTAGGTTTATCTGTGTCATCAGGGTCAACTGAGTAGTGCAAATGGATGTGAACCCTTCTTAGAATTGTTAAAAGGACTATGTTGTAGACTGGAGATAGATGATGTTTTATCCCTCCCCTTCTCTCAACTGGATCAAACCTCCATCGGAGAGCCAATCAACAATGTGGCAGGGAAGTGGCTAGCACGAGGCATCTG